CAGTTCCACTTCACATTTGTAACAATATTTAATTATTAATCACGACACTCCAGGGAGGGAGAGTGAGGCTGGGATGCTGATGGACCCAAGCGCTACGAATGTGGGACAACATGTCGTATGAGCAATGTGCCACTTAAAGTAATTCCCAATGCTCGATTGGCTCCCTGACAGCAGACAGACGTTGATAGCTGGCTTGGATGTTATGTTGTCGTCGTCGTCGTCGTTCACCTTGTGCCGTCATTGTAGCTGTTGTCGTTGCTGTAGACGTTGTTGGATTGCCGCTCTGCCCAATCATTATTCATGGCGTGACAAGCGCGTTAAATGTGTCTCTCTCTCTGCCTGTCCATGTGTGCGAGTCGGCAATAACTTTTAACATGCCAAAGGTATTTCCGCAAGAATCCACATCCACACAACAACAGTACAAACACGAGAAAAACTCGAGCAAAACTCACAAAAATGGAAAATAATTTGTTCTCTCTGTCCTTCCATCATTCGTTCGTGTGTGTGTGTGTGTGTGTGTGTGTGTGCAAATCGCAGTGAACCGATGAGCCGGACAGGAGGGGGCTGGGAATGTTGCCTGTCGAATGTGTCTCCTATCGTAGCGGTGCGGGCCACAAATTAATGCCCAGCCATTATCACGAAATCCCACTTTCATGGCGGCCACCGCTGTTGCCGCTGTTGTCCTTATTTGTCCTTGATTGCCTTGAACAGCACACACAAACAAACAAAAAAAAATAAAATACACTCGTACCGTCCCGAAATAAGAGAAGAAAAATTGTGACATGCCGCCAGCCTACTCGTCACCTCCTACCCCATCCACACAGAGAGCGCCCCCCCCCTCCGGCCATTGTTTCATTTGATTTCTGTTTGCTTTCGCTAGATTCCTTGCGTGCCACGACACTCTAGAGGGGATCGGTGTAAATATTTGTGACATAATTAAGCAGCCAAGCGGCTTGGCACCGGGTCGGAGCCGGGGCCGGGACCGATACGGCGACACGGCAATACGGCAGTACGGCGGCACGGTTCGGGCGCAGGACATTATCAAATCGGTTGAGGGACAAGTTGCAAAGCCGAAAATAAAGTAAACATCGACGCTGGGGCCCTGGCTGAAGAGCGTTTTTGCCACGCGCGTGATTAAATTTCATTTGTGGACTCAACCCGAACGGAACCCCAACCAACTGACACACTGACTCACTGACTGACTGACTGACTGACTGACTGACTGACTGACTGAGTCCTTAACTCTCTGTATTTACCGTCGTTTTAGTGCCTCGCCTCGCTTGGGTTAGTCCCAGCTCCCAGTCCCAGCTCCACTTTCGCTCTCCGTTCTGCCATTCTGCCAACAGTGTGCGTGCGTTTGACTTGGATTCGCATTAAGATTGTCAAAGATTTGAACGCCAGTGGGGAGCCACTTTCGACTGGCTTGAACCTTTCACTCCGGGCCGCCTGTTTTTCGCCAGCTTTGCTTCATCTTCGCTGGGCTTTGCCCAAAAAACGCTCTGGGAGCAATTTGGAAGATTTTCGGCAGCGATTTATCGCCCAGCTCCTGAGTGGGTGCCACCGATACTTACCCAGAGATAATAGAGCCAGCCGTATGTATCCTTGCTGCCTGCTCCCTGCTCCCGGCTCCCTGCTCCCAGGTTCACCTCAACTTAATTTGAATACAAAAGCCGCTCGCGAAAGGAAAAGGTTGTTCAATGTCACTGCCGCCTATCTGCTGCCATGCGATTCCAATTCCATGATAGTGCACAATATTAATGGATGTAGGGATCTCGTGGGGGGCCTACATGCATGATGTGCCTGCCTATCGGGCAGGGTAGCAACATTGACTGGAAGCTCCCAATAAATACTGGCATTAGAGTGGCTCTTCTGGCACCAGGCTCTTGGGGCGGGCCCGGGGCCCTGCTGTCAGGTTTGGGTATATTTTTTGACATCAGGGGAGTGCTTGCCAGAGCCGTAAAAATTGTATTGCCTACTTTCAGTGCTCACAGATAGTTGTCTGTGTTTTCAGTCCTCTTGGCGTTCTTGGGTGCCAGTTGGCAGACAATTTCAATAGAACAGATCCCCTTGTCAGGGTGAAAACATTTTAATAATTCAATAGGCAACAATGCGACATGGAAAAGCGCTTCATGTAATTACGACTGAGCATAAAAATTGAACAAATGTCCAACGGGGCAACTTCGTGTATATTGAATGTCAGCCACGTTGTTCTTTTGACTTTCACTTTGAGTATCATTTAAATTCAAAGACTGTTATTGCAGCTGTCACTGCCCCAGATACAGATACACAGACAGACCCAGGAGAGAGAGAGAGAGGGGGAGGGAGAGAATGGGAATCAAACACAGAGAACACGCATGCCAAACATGCCGCAATGGCTGCCTGCCAGAGAAGGGTCTACGGTCTGCCGTTTTGTGGTCGTTCTGCGGATCCTTTCTCGTTGCTGAATCTAAAATGTAATGTTGTGATTGGGCGTGATTTGATGCAGCACTGGGCACGGTCTCTCGAAGCCCGAATCAATTTCAATTGTGTGTACAAAACTTCATTACATTGCACGGAATTAATTTGCCAGCAGCCAACAGCGGCAAAGCTTTCGCTTGCGCCTGGAAATACTCTCTCTAGGATATGAATTTTGATTCCAGTTCAAAGTTTCCGCATCACTCAGAGATCTAACAGTTCTGCTCTTGATAGCTATGATAATTTCTCAGCGGACAGCCTACATTTTCATGCAGCTCACGATTGGGTAAGCAGTTTTCCAACGAAATATATCCCACGACTTGGCAATGTTCTTGGCCGAGAAAGTTGGTATACCCGCATACCAATGGCCGGGTTTTGTCTGCAGCCAGCCATTTTGCTTAACTTTCATGAGGCTATTCAATGACTTAACCATTTCCATGTCGCTGCTCGGGTCCTTTTCCAGCCACGCACGCATTCACACAAAAACATACAGACAGAGACCCACACAGATACCCCCACAGACCATGTGTGTGTGGGTGTGTGTTTGTGTGGCTGAAAAGGGTCAAAAGGTTCTTCACACATGTACAAATTGCTGGTGCTGGTCGAAAGCATTTTGCATAGCGGCGAGCGGCCAGGAGATTGGCACTGGGCCAGGCCTAAGCCGCGTCGTGAGCCCGACCTTAAAGGTTGCCTCAATTAAATTTCTGCCGCCCGGCCAGACACAACAAAAAAAAAACCCGTCCAAAAGCTGCAGGGCACAGCCAGGGCCATACCCACTGTGCGCATATGAATTTGCCTTTACACATATTTTTCCATGTTTCTCATTTGGCTGCCATGTTTTTATGTGGCTCCACCTCCGGTGCCCACACCCACTTTGTGACTTACTGCACGTCAACAGCCTCATCAGGCGCATCCCAGGGCTGTGTGAGTAAGTGAAAAAAATGTCTGCTTTTTTGCCGGTTCCGCTGGCCGGGCCAGGCCAAGCCGGGCCTTGCCAGCCGAGCGAATGAGAAATGTGCCAGGAAATTGTACTAAACTGCTCGAGAAGCAAAGTAGAGGGAAAGTAATACAGAAGACGCTGCTGCAATATGGCCGCAGAAAACATAAACCATAACAGTGTCAGGCCCTTGGACCCAAGCACGGAGCAGGAGCCAGGCAGGGGGGGGTCAGATAAGCCAACAACAGGAGGCAGCAAGATTTATGGCATGCAGGGGACGCGTACGCGAGAGCCGGAAATGAGCAGCCAGAATGTGGCAGGCACGAGGCCATGTCCCGCGGTCGATTGGCTGCAGACAGGAACGGAACTCTCCCCGAGACTGAGACTGAGACTGAGACTGGCAGGTGATAATCAGGAACAAACACTAAGCAAACAAATGGCCCACAGCCGCCAAAAAAATAACAGAGAGAAACAGGAATTTTGCAAAATGAAACGAAACATTTTAAAGACTCAACCCAACTCACATTTGATAGTGCTGTGTGTCTGGATACGGATTGCCAGTCATCGGGCTATTCATGCGATTTCCAACGCTTCGTCGGTCAGGTCTTTGCGGCCGGGCAGCATTGAGTGAGGTGTGCCAGTGGCAGTCGTCGATTTGAATGCGCTGCCCGGGCAAAGGATTTCTCACAGAGGCTGACTGGCAACAATGGAATGGACCCGGTGTTCAAATTAAATGGCTGACCAGAGGCTGAAACTGAAACAGAAACAGAATCCCCAGCAGGGGAGGCAGGAACCCGCCCCCAGTTACAGTTGGAGTCACGGCTTGTTTGCATTAAATACTCGTGCTCGTACTCGTACCGAGCTTAGCAATCAACTCTCGCTGACAAGAGCAACAGCTCTTGAATAATGTGTTGCACAGTTGTTGACTTCCTCAGTCGAATGCTGTTGACAAAGGCGGCAGCTGAAGCCTCCACTGTGACAGTCCCACTGCCACATCCTCATCCACTTTGTCCCCATCCTGCCTCTTCCCCACCCCTCACTCTCGCTCTCACTCTCTGTCTCTCTCTGTCTGTCTGTCTGCCTTTTGGCCGTGGCAAGTTCAAGTCCTAGTGGTCGCACGCTTGACTTCCTGCCCCTTCTCTGGCACTTGAAATGTAATTTAATTTGTTTATTTGTGTGGCGCTCCGCTCCTACGGCCCTCCGCTTTGTGGCATCTGCCGTGTCTGCTTGCCAATTAATTGCGCACCTTTTGGAGGAGAGAGAGAGAGAGAGAGCCAGGCAGACACCGAAGTGGAGCAGGTGGCTCCACAAATTCGGCCCAGAAAATGCTCTAATTAATGTGTTTGTTAAGCTTTTGTGCTTGGGGAAATTCTCGAACTTTGTTACACCGTGGCGGGGGGGAGGATGCGAGTGCAAGTCAACATTTTAATTGAATGAAATTTATAGCCCGAGTTTCATGGCATTCAATTACATACAACAGGTTCATTAGGCGGCGGCTGGGCCACACTTAAATATACCTACGCGTAATATTAGATATTCATAATCGAATTGCCATCTAGATCAAAACATTCTCAAGTTTGTCTGCTGCTTTGTCGTCTCTTCCTGGCAGCACTGAGTGAGGACTCGACAATGCGCTTCATTAATTTGGCTGGCAGCCGCAGAGCAGCAGACCCGCCGGCACAGGCACAGGCACAGGAACTGAAAGTGGAACAGGGATTCGCGTCAGCTGCAGCAACATTGCATTGAGTGCAGGATACTGTGGAGTACGGTAGCCATGGTGGAGGACAACGAGGATGCGCTGCCGCAGCTGGCGCTGCCGGAAGCGGAAGCTGAAGGAGCCGCCGCCGCCGCCGCCTCGTCCATTGTGGAGCCCCTGCTGGCCCTGCTACGTGCCGACATTCTCAATCACACACAGACCCGAGCACCAGCCAGCTTCTACAGCAGCTACAACATATCCGAGGACGTTTACTTCTACTTCAACGGCCTGAGTGCGATGCCCACCAGCACGGAGCTGTCGCTCAATGGGAGTGTGTCCACCACAACTATGGGCCCGCTCAGCACCACCACCAGCATCAGCAGCAGCAGCAGCGGCAGCAGCACGACCCCCGAACCGGATCTGTCCGAGTTCCTGGAGGCGTTGCCCAACGATCGCGTCGGCCTGTTGGCCTTCCTCTTTCTGTTCTCGTTCGCCACCGTTTTTGGCAATTCGCTGGTCATCCTGGCCGTCATCCGGGAGCGGTATCTGCACACGGCCACCAACTACTTCATCACCAGCCTGGCCGTGGCCGATTGTCTGGTGGGGCTGGTCGTTATGCCCTTCTCGGCCCTGTACGAGGTGCTGGAGAACACGTGGTTCTTCGGCACCGACTGGTGTGACATCTGGCGCTCCCTGGACGTGCTCTTCAGCACCGCCTCCATACTCAATCTGTGCGTCATATCGCTGGACCGCTACTGGGCCATCACCGATCCCTTCAGCTATCCCATGCGGATGACGGTGAAGCGAGCCGCCGGCCTGATAGCCGCCGTCTGGATCTGCTCGAGTGCCATCAGCTTTCCGGCCATTGTCTGGTGGCGGGCGGCGCGGGACGGCGAGATGCCCGCCTACAAGTGCACCTTCACCGAGCACCTGGGCTACCTGGTGTTCTCCTCGACGATCTCCTTCTACCTGCCGCTGCTGGTGATGGTGTTCACCTACTGCCGCATCTACCGGGCGGCGGTGATTCAGACGCGCTCCCTCAAGATCGGCACCAAGCAGGTGCTGATGGCCTCCGGCGAGCTGCAGCTCACATTGCGCATTCATCGCGGCGGCACCACCAGGGATCAGGCCAATCAGGTCTCGGGTGGGGGTGGTGGTGGCGGCGGCGGTGGAGGAGGGGAGGCGGATCGCTGAGCCACTCCCATTCGCATTCGCATCACCACAACCATCACAATCATGGCGGTGGCACCACCACATCCACGCCCGAGGAGCCCGACGACGAGCCGCTATCGGCGCTGCACAACAACGGACTGGCCCGCCACCGGCACATGGGCAAGAACTTCTCGCTCTCCCGCAAGCTGGCCAAGTTCGCCAAGGAGAAGAAGGCCGCCAAGACGCTGGGCATTGTGATGGGCGTGTTCATTGTGTGCTGGCTGCCGTTCTTTGTGGTCAATCTGCTGTCCGGTTTCTGCATGGAGTGCATCGAGCACGAGGAGATTGTGTCGGCGATTGTCACCTGGCTGGGCTGGATCAACTCGTGCATGAATCCGGTTATCTATGCCTGCTGGAGCAGGGACTTTCGCAGGTGAGTCTTTCGCACTGGCTGCCCTGCTGCACTCCAGCACCTCAACGGTTTTTGTTTACTTCCACAGAGCCTTTGTGCGTCTGCTGTGCATGTGCTGTCCCCGCAAGATTCGCCGGAAGTATCAGCCCACAATGCGGTCCAAGTCGCAGGTAAGTTATCCACTCCCCACCGCCCACTCCCCACCGCCCACCGCTGCTGGCCACATACAATTGGATTTCAGATTTCAGATTTCTCTCACTACTACTCTTAATTGTTGCTTTCCTATTTATGGTTTGGGTCTCAGCAGTTTTCACTCTCGGTTCCCTCCTGCCCCGCCACCCCAACAGATTTTCCGCTTTGCGGGGAAAGTTTCCATGAATTATGCGCGGCTGCCCATCTGCACTCGTTATTGTATGCTCCAGAAACGAAACTCAACGAACGGCAAAATTAATTTACAGATTTACAATTTACAGATTTACAAAAAAAAAATACAAACAGACATTTACCACTCCTACCCCTCGTACCACTCGTACCACTCCTACCCCTCGTACCACTCGTGTCCCTGTACCCCACCCCACTGCATTGCTGGCTTCCGTTCACACATGGCAGACGGACAGCCATGGAAAACTTTCTGACATTTGCCCCATTCTGACGTGCTCATCCTCATCCTCATCCTCATCGCCCCTCCATATCCTTGCATAAATCATCAGATGCCAACCTGTGTGCGGGTGCTCAACCTCAGCGCCGCTGTGATTTTAATGAATAATTTTCTAATGTTTGAGGATGAGGATGAGCCATGGCCAAAAGTGCGCGCGTATTGCAGCAGTCGTGTGATCCATTGTTGTGTCCGGGGCCATCACGTCAGCTGAATATCCCCATGCGGAGAGGCCAGGCAGTCAACAAGTCAATCTGAATAATTAACTATGATTTGCATTCACGTGATTTGGTTTGAAAACGAACCAAAATTGATTTCTTTCCATCAAAAGTACTTAACGTTCTGCCCGTGAGCAGCAGAGCTGCAGCTCTGACTAACTGAACGGATCATATCATTACAGGAATCATCAGTAGAGACATCATCATCGCATCATCACCATCATCATCGCATCATCATCATCGCATCTCTTCGAACTCTCAACAGATTATGTTCCCATCCACATACCTGGTACTCGTGCTGCTTCCATCTGTCCGTCTCAGCCCCTCGCTGGGGGAAGTTTAAGTACTTGACTCATTCCGCTTGCCAGGGAAATTTCTATATATATTTTACAGCAGGGAATCTCAGTACCAGGTATCTTTCAGTCGGCAAACTCGACTGTGTTTTTGTTTTCTATTTTGCTCATTTTGTTGGCCGTGGCGAATGGCTGATAGCCAGATAGCCTGATAGCTGTTAGCTGATTATGATTCCGTTGGTGTTCGTTTCGTGTTCTTACAGAGATTTGCGACGCGACGCTGCTACTCGACCTGCTCGCTGCACGGCATTCAGCACGTGCGCCACAATTCCTGCGAGCAAACTTATATATAGTTTAGCATATTCGTAGATTTAGTTGACATTGATTAAGGCGCCCGTGCGGCGCTGCCTCTTCCCAGCCCCCAGCCCCCACCGCCTCCCCGCACCCCACAACGTTCAATTTCAGGCTCCGGCTCAACCTCAAGCTCAAGCTTTAAGTTGTTTTCGTAAGTCAATGGCAAGGTAAGCGACTTGTGACTTTGTGTTCTCTTTCACTCTGTGTCTCTCACTCTCACTCCTGTTTTTTCTCTCTGTCGATGTCTCGTTTGTGTGTCGCTTCTCCTGCTGTTGTCTCTTTCAAAGTCGTTGTGCACACACTCAAACACAGCCACACACACACACACACACACAGACACAGACACAGAACACATTGCACAGTCGTTATGTCAAGCTGCCATGCCATGCCATGGCATGGCCCCCCCACCTGTGCTGTACTCCATTTACTGCATCTGTTTCTGTGTCTGTCGCTGATGTTGGCTGTTTGCTGTTGGCTGTTGCTATCTCTGTCTGCGGCTGAGTCTATCCTGCTCGCTCCCTTGTTGTTGTTGGCTCGACCGTGACATTGTTGTTTTGTGTCGTTATATATACATACATATATTTTTTGTTCGTTTGTTGCCGTTGTTGGTTACGTTGTTGCAAAAGAAAATCAGAAAGAAAAAAAAAACGAAAAGCGAACTCGTGATTCGAGCACCTGTTGAATGTGTTGCACCTGAACATCCACCCGCACACACACACACACACACCCACACACACCGCCCACATAGCCACACCCCACCCCCCAGTACCCACTACACAGGAAAAGAGAAACCCCCTCTTTGCTCCCTGGTCTTAACGGTCTTTGTTTGATGATGTTGCTCTTTATGTTGTTACTGTCAAGGTGAAAAAAGCCGACAAAAAACAAGTTAAAGAATAAACGTAACTTGCCACAAAGTCTCTGGACACAAGAGCACACACACAAGAGCACACACACACACACACACATGCAGGACACAATGTCCTTTCATCGTTTCTGTCACCGTTTCCGTTGCTGTTCTTGTTGTTGTTGTTCTTGTTCCTGTCGATGTTGTTCTCCTCTCACAAAAGATTTCCCCGCAGTGTACACGGAAACGGAAAAAATGGAAAAAAAAACCTGAATAAAAAAACACCCACACACACACACACACACACAGAAAGTCCTGCGCTCTCTCTCTGTCTCACACGTGAAGCCTGATTGTTGATCTTATGTTGGTTTTATGTGTGAATTTTTCCTCAAGTTTTATCCGGCTTTTCCAGCTCACCCCCCGCCCAAACAGCTTGGTGTTTATTATTTTTTAAATTTATACTTTTTCCAGCTGGTTGTTGTAATTGTAGGCCGGCCCTGCCGACCTGCTTTCTTTCTATGTACACGCCAAACACTCGAGAGGCCATCCATCGATGGCTGTCTAGCTTACACTCACACATACTTCCAAACATATCTCAAGCAATAAGTACATGTGTGTGAGTGTGTGTGAGTGTGGCAGGGTAGGGGATGGTGTGGGATGGTATGGGATGGAGTCACGCACAGCCGATACTTGAGAAATGTTATCAAGTGAACCATAAACATTTCTTGCACTTAAAAACTTCCAACTCAATTTTCGCCTCTGCGATATGCGTACACAAACACACACACACATCACACATATGTACCGTAGCACATGTAATTGTATTGATGAAAATGTTATTTACAGCAATCAACAGTCAATATGTGTATGTGCCAGATCAGACCGCATGGTGTGAGAGTCCTGTATCCGTTCCTGCTGGATTCGATTTTCGATACAGGGTTGCCCCCCCCCCCCCCCCGCCTCCGCGCGTCCCCCTCGGCGGGCGCCAGGGCGACGCCGCCCGCACCCCTACGCGGGGGGGTGGTCCCCGGCCCGCCTCGCCCCCCCCCCCCCCCCCCCCGCGGCCGTCCCCCCCGCCCCGGCCCTGCTGGCGTTACCCCTGCTTGGTTTAGGCTTGCCCTTGGGTTGGGGGCAATTTTTTTTTTTTCATTTTCATTTTTTTTTTGCAATGTGTCTGTCATCATATCAATTACACCCAAGAGCATGCCAATTTATTGCCAAGTGTTTTCCACAGCCAATCGTACTTGCACGACTGGCTCCACGGAAAAAAAGTATGGATGAAACTTTTTCATTTGATGAAAGGGGTACGGGTACGGGGTACACGGGTACTTGAACCAGCGCTGCTGCATGCGTGGTCCAGTGGAGCGGTTGGGAAATGATTGAATACAAATGTGTGGCTGGAGGTACAAATAAATTGCAGCCGCAACTAAGGCGAAAAATTTAAAGCACGTCGCGTGCACGTACGATTGATTCCACAGTTCGGTAGTCTGCCAGGTGACAAGTGGACTCAATCGATCAGACACACTAACGGGGTTATAGATTAAATTTAAAGAACATTTCAAGTCCTTTGGCTTGGCATCCTGCTGACAAAGCTCTGCTACCTTTCGTAGAATTTCCCTAATTTATTGGGACCGTGCCCAAGACTGTGTGTGTGTCCGAGCAGGAAAGTGTTTGGCCTTGCCTACAAATGAGGCAACTTCCGCATTTCGCAATTTGCCAGCTGCACGACAAATGGTAATGGAAATGGGTGCTGGTCAAATGAGGATATTGCAGACGTGTGGTTTTGTCGCCCCCTCCCCAACCACACTTCCTGTGTGCCACTTGTGTTGTGGGTTCTGCAAGTGCTCGATTTCCGGACTCTTCAACTCTTTGACTTCGCATGCCGCCTTGTTGGGGCCATCTTTGCTACACACCTCGAGCACATTGCGGTCAGCCACAAGTTGCCTCCTGTGCGGGTGTGTGTGTGTGGCGGGTGTCTAGTTGGATGACACTTTAAAATTAAGTCGATTGAGGTTTTATTCAACTTTAATGCACACAGACACTCAATGATTAATCGCTGGCTGACATTTCAGCCCACTCTGTGGGCTGAGCACCCACTCTGTGTCCTAATGAGCCGTAAAGGATTCTATGGCCAGGCCAGCCCACACAGCCACACAGAGCCAAACAGCCACACCCACACAGCCCACACACAGCCCACACACAGCCCACACGCACACGCAGTCTGGCAGACATGGCCAATTTGCATGGCATTTGGGCTTCGAGAAATATCTGCCGAGATGTTTTGATTGAAAATGCCAGCCATTCAGCCATCATGAACACCCACTCACATACATGGGCAGGGCAACACAGAGAACATTCTGTACAGTCCACACCCACACACCACCTACTTAGCATAAATTTGTAAGCTTGTAAATCTAGCATTTGTAACTCTAAATGTTTTCAGAAGAACCACCCACTGGCCAGCCAGAGGCCGGCATCGGCACCAGAACTGCTGCGCTTTGGAGCCTTTGAGTAGAAAACCCACACGCACAGCCCCATCCCCTCGAATATTCCAGTTGCAGGATATTATTGCACACAGAACACAACTTTAATCAATGCCCGGCCAAGTACGAGTACATACAAATAATGCTCATTGTGGCTTCTACTCGTAATGCTGCTATGGCTGCTGCTTCTCCTCTAAACGTTGCTAATTGCATCAATTATTGGCCCAAAAGCTTTGTGGCATGTACATACCAGCGCAAAAGCCAAATTGAAATCGAAAGCCAAAGCCAAAGTAAAACCAAATTATTGAAACAATTAATCAAACCATTTCCGACCATTTCTGACCCAAAAACAGAACTGAACTGAACAGAACAGAAATATACGCGCAGCCGAAGCCGAATCAAGTTTAGCGACATTTAGTCAGACGACTGCCAAAGGGGGGCGGGGGGATTGGTGCTTACTTTTACTTTTATTTTGCTGCTGCTTCTTTGCTCTTTCGATAATGATCCCTTGGCCTGGGCGGAACGGGACGAACATCAAAATGTAATTTGCCACAAATGTTTCGCACACACACACACACACACACACACATCAATTATCGCTAATTGACTGTGAACGTGAAATTAACGTTTATAATTATGTGACAGAGCCGTTGAGGCGGAAGTAGCCAGAGTAAATGGCCAAATTCGTGGCCAGAGTCAAGTAACTTTTAATGTCCTTGCAGGGTGGCAGGGGGGGGGGGCAGGGAACAAGTTAAATTCGCCTTTGCCCAAGTCAATCTTTCAGTCAGTCAGTCATCATGCACAAGGTCAGCCAGCAGTAACCCGAGTTGGGTTAAGCAAATGTCTGTTAAGCCTTTTAAGAAACTTTACTTTACGGCGTGATGGGGCTTGCCCCCTTTTGCCGGGTGACGTGACCCCCGAGGGGTTTATTGAGTGTTAGGCAATAAATTACAAAAGAGGTCTCTTACCCGAGGGGCGTGGTCGCGACAAGTTCGTGCGCGAAAAAAGTTCACCGTGCCATTGACCTTTGGTCGGGGCTTGTCAAGTTTTTTAAGTGACAAGCCCCCAGGCGTACTTTGCGTGAGCTGTGGAGTATGACTCACAGAGAGACACATCTTAGGGGTATTTCTCAACAGATTGAAATAGATTAAAGCTTGAGTAGCGGATATCATTGAACAGATTCCGGGGATAAGCCATCTGTCTGGATACCCCTGCCGATATACCCCACTGCTGTTGGCTGTGGGTCCTGTGGGGCTATAAAAATTGCAAATTACCCGATTGCCTCGGGGCGTCTGCCGAGAGGGCCATCCGGTCTGGCTCTTCAATTATTTAAGCTAATTGCGGCCACACTCAAAAACACCAGCAGAACCACCAGCAGCAGCAGCAGCACACTCGACGTATACGTAATGCGAATTGTACGCAAATGGGAATGGGGCGGGGATTTTAGAATTTAATAAGAGGCCAGACCAGGCGACCGTAAGAAAGTAATTGAATTGGCAGAGCACGGATGATGAGGAATTCGAAAAGTGCGGGGCGAGAATGGGCGAAAGGCAGAAGGCGGAAGGCGGAAGAAGCGTGTGGAATGGCAGGAAGACAAAATTCCAGCCACTTGCAATATGCAGAGCTACCAAAAGGCGTAGGACACAAAGAGGTCTCAATGGGCACTTCGTATGCCCTCGAATGGAAGAAGGAAAACGCACACAAAGGACACGGACACAAACACACTCACACCCACACTCACACCCACACTTACACTCACACATGGCCGTTTTGTTAATGTTGTTGTTACTGTTGTTATTATTGTTTGCTTTGGGGTCTGGCTTTGCTGCCCGCCCGCCCCACCGTCTAAAATGAAATGCCACAAATGCGAATTTCAGGCAGCTCTCTCGGTGTGGTACCCCTTGCAGAGGATATCGTATGGCTTTAATCAAAGAAAAGCAGAGAAATAAGAAGCGAATGGATAGAGGATTTGTCTGTCTGGTCTAGCTATACCCAGCCACAAAGCATGCAAATGTGATCAGTATATCTGATATATGTATGTAGCTCATTTATTTCCTTATATCTTATCATAATGTTCTCACTATTGCAACGATCCATCTGCAAAGGGTGTCAATTGCTTCGGCCCCCGAGGCCCGAATCCTCTTTCCTGTTTATTTTCCTATTTTTTGCCCCTTCTATTTCTAGTTCTTGGTGTTTGTTGTTGCTCTCTTTCACGTTCTCTTTCGCCTACACTTTTCGTTTTCGTTTTCGTTTTTTTTTTTTACTTTCAATCATGCATTTTGCTTTGACTTTTACTGCACTCCGGATAAAAGGCACACAGGAGAAAAAAAAATAGACGAAAATAATAAAATCAGCAAAGGAATGCTGGAAAAGCTGCTACATTTTCCTATTGCTGTTTGTTGTTCATGTTGTTGTTGTTGTTGTTGTTGTTTTTTGTCGTTGCTGCTGCTTTTGGCGCTTCCTGTCTAGCGCCCCCTCCATGCTCCATGCCACCCCCCACTCACTCACTCATTTCTCTCTCTCTCTCTCTCTGTTTGTTTGTGTCTCTCGTTGTTGTTTTTGTTGTTTCACTCTTTGTTGCTTTGTTGCTGTTGCGGCTGCTGCGTTTATAACGGCAAATTGTTTTCAGCCACAAATACACATACACACACACACACCTACACAGTGAAACACTGCCTGCAAATTGTATGAAAACACTTGAATCTAAATAAACCAACAAAATGTTAATTAAATGCCTTTTTCCTTCTCTTTCTTCCTGTTCCATGTGCATCCTGCTTCGCCTCCTGCTTCTGCTTCTGTTTCTATTTCCAACAGTGCCACGTGGCCGCTGCAATGGTGGCAGCCTCGACCTCCTTTGGCTACCACTCGGTGAACCAGCTGGACCGCACGCTCATGTGACGTCAGCTGAGCAGCTGCAGCACCTGCAGCGGTGGCAGCAACTGCGGCGGAGGCGGCGGCGTTGGAGTTGGAGGCGGCTCCCGCAGTGGCCATCACCACCATCACTCCTCGGGCACGGCCACGCCCTCCTCGTCGCAGCGTTCGTGCACCCGCTGCCAGAGCTTCCATCGCCACCACCACCGGGACAGGCGCCGCAGCTCAGCGATGAAGCATCGCGGCGACTACAGCTCCACGTCGGCGGTGAACAGTGCGGCCAAGACGCTAGTGACGATCACTGCCCCGCCGGCGGCAGCGGCCTCGGCCAGCTCGTTGCACCTGGGCGGCGGTTCAAGGCCCTCATCGGTCTCCACCTTGACCCTGGCCTCCGTGCCGGCCACGCTGCTGCTGGAGCCGGCTCTGGGGCTCGGCGGCGGGTCGGTGAGTGCGGCCAACACGCCTGTGGCACCCAGCCTGAAGCACTCCAGCCTGGCGTTGACACCGGGCGGCAACTCCTCGGGTCACCACGTCTCCTTCATGCCCATGGCGGGCATGAGGCGTCTGCGCAGCTCCCACTCCTCGCTGAGCTCGCCCACGGCCCCAGCTCTGGGTGCTGGTGTGGACACCATCTCGGCTATCTCGCTCACCGATGCCGCCGAGGAGCACGCCCAGCATCATCATCATCAGCGCCACAGAGTGCTGGAGCAGCGCCAGAGTGTGCAGAGCCAGATCACCACGCTGGGCGATGTGGACGATGACGAGGACAGCGACAGTGAGAGCATCGGACTGGCCCTGGTGCAGACGACACCGCAACTGGAATGCCAGCCGGAGGAGGCGGCCTCCAGTTCCTCCAGCTCCTCGGTAAAGTAAACTCGGAGCAAAGCCACAGAGAATTATCACAGAACTATTCACGGACATCCCAGTCCAGCCCAGTAAACTAGCACTAAGAACTCTCTCCATAGATGTGTGTGTGTGTCTGTATATAGTTATGCATATGGCGCTCCAGCCCTCGTCTAGTCTCACATTAGCTTATCGATTGGTGATAGAACACTATGCAACAGAAGATCTGACTACGGACCGGGCCCCACTTTCGTTTCCATTCGATTGAGAAGCTCCTGTGCCATCAGTGCCCCATGATGCGATGGTGGGTGGGTTGCATAGTGTGAATTAGTTGTTACAATTAGTTGTCATATCTTAGATCTTCCATTATATAGATGTTATCCACTAGAGTAAAATGTATTTTTGGTTCTGTAAATGTCTTAGCCATTGAAAGCTACGTCTTCAACCTGTCCACGTACCTGACTCTCTTTCAGAAAACAAAAAAAAACAAACACACTTTCCAAATAAATAATATACTGTACATAGCTACAAGTCCGCTCTTTGCCTCTTCCCCTCTCTCTCTCCTTATATTTAACTCTATTTCTGTCCCAACTGAAACTAACATAAACATTACGGGTGCAAAATGAATTTAACTCTGCCTCGGCAATCAGCAAACTGGCTTCAAAACTCTACTCTACTCCACCCAGCATTCAAGGCATTCCTCACTCCCGCCTCACATTTAGGTTGTCAGTGTTTGAGTACAAAAACGAGTGAAGGACTTTTTGTTTCTTTTGGCTTGTACTTTGAACTACTTACGAGCATAGCAATAGACGTTAGAGTGAATGTTAAATGTGCTTCAGCTATGAGAGGTTGATGTACTTAATAATTGAGAGAGCGAAACGTAATGCATTAATCCATCAAAGGGTTCTGTTCGGTTCTGTTCTCTGTTCTGCTATGAGTGAGTGCTCATCCGATTACAATTTTGCAATAATTAATGCGTGCAATTAGAATTGATTTTCCCGCTCCACCGAAAATGAAAATGAAAATGAAAATGGTAAAGGCAGAGAAGAATGGCCGGGGGGAAATACTTATAGAAATGGCGATACGTCATTTTTAGTGGATGGGACGACGGGCAACGGAACAAATCATCGCATCGTCTCGAGACGAGACGCGAGAGAAAAGAATAGAAAAATGTTGCTCATTGTTTTCAAAACAAACAAAGCGAAATGAAAAACGAAAGCAAATACATAGCAAAGCAAGCACAAAAAATACAGAAAATAGCAAAAGCAAAGCAAAGTCGATCAGAGGGGAGCAACAAAAGCAACAAAACAAAACAAAAAACTATAACAAATGGCAATTATTAATATTGAATATGTATAGCACATAAGATAAATAGCTCCTAGAGTTCTTTGCGGTGTGTGTGTGTGTGTGTGTGTGTGTGCATTTCTAGCTGTAAGTACAGACATATATATATCTACTCACCACATCCAGCCCCAGCCCCACAGTCCCCTTTCCACCCATCTCTGTAACTGTAATTGTAAAGATTTGTATGTGTGAGTGTGTGTGTGTGTGTGTATGTTAGCCATTTAAGCATCTTAGAAGAGCAGCCGTTGAGTGGGCAGCTCAGATTGCATTAAGATATGGTCAGAGTACGAGTCAGAGGCAAACCATCAGCCAGCCATCGGCTGTAAACTGTAAACTGTAAACTCTAAGCTGTAATCTGTAATCTGTGTGTACTGCAAGCCACTTAAATTTATATTTATTGTATGTACTGTACTTGTACTTGTACTATGTGTGTGTATGTGTACAACTACGCAAAAAGAGATTAAAATGCGAAAACTATGTAAGAACAGAATATCGAGAATTTTCAGCTCGGACACTGGGCCAGGACGTTGAAGGAATCCTTGCGGACTTGCGGTTTACTGGAAAAAGATTATTCTTTATTCTGTGGGAGAGTGGGTGGGTGGCAGAGTGTGGATGGGGGATGATGCCACACTTGATGTTCTGATGCTCTGATGGCCAGCCAAGCAAGAAGACAAAGTGCAATGCCAGAGTTCAGCAAACAACTGCAGCAAAAAGTTTACACTTTACATTTTCGGATCATGCTGGGGGGACGAGTGCTTTTTGCGCCCCTTTGCTGTTGCTGTTGCTCCTGCCCACTCTCACGCTCCCAGAGCCTGAGCTGTCGGGCAGTCAGTCACTCAGGGGGCTAAGATGGATAGACAGCTGCAAGTTGCAGTCAGCAAAGTGCGAACTGCAAGCCACGCATCTTAAACAACTCGCCCGAGCACACAGCCGGGGGGCACTCACACATGATACAGCATCTGTGCTGGGGATTTTCGCCACCCACCCGCACCTCTAAGGGAGGGGCGGAGTCGCATAGTCGACAACAAAACGTGCGACGTGTATTGACTCACTAATGAGAAAATAAACAAGAGACCAGTGGGGGGCACAGCAGACCCACAGCAGACCCACAGCAGACCCACAGCAGACCCACAGCAGTGCCGCACTAATGACCCAAAGTTGAACCCACAGAGATACAGATAGAGATACAACGCGCAGAGACAGAGATACAGATGCGAATGCGAATGCGAATGGGCATGGCCAAAGGGTCACACTGGATGGGAGTGGGGTTGGGGTTGGGGCCTGGGGGTTTGTGTGTGGCTTCCACATGAGTGGCCAATCTGAAGCTGCCACACCTTCGCCGGGTCACACACTTTGTTGCACAGTGACTACAAATATGTGTGTGTGTGTGTGTGTGTACAGTGTACAGTGAGGAGGTCAAAACACATCAGTGCTGGGCAGACGCGAAAGTTACAGATGTGCAGCGTTCTGTCCTGGCTCCGTAATCAGCCAAATAACGACTGCCAAAATGCTGGATAAGCGGCGAACTAATAAAAAAGAAACGTTGCATGGCATTGCGCAAGCTGCACACAATATCCCCGGAACCCTCCCATCCCCATCCTCATCACCAGCCCTGCCCCATCAAAGCTTATCACTGAAGTTGGAGCAGAACGTTGAGCGTTGAGCGTTGAATGTTGAGCGTCAAACCCTCGACGACATTTTATTTGCTCGCTGGTAATTTTGTTTCCGTTAGCTACTAGTGCTTTTCACCCTCTCTCTCACCACCTCTCTCGGGTATGCTGCCCCTCCTATCCTATCCTATCCTATCCCCTCCTATCCTATCATTCTTATGCCACATGCCCCCCATCTCTCCTGCTCCACTCCTTCCATCCTTTTTATTTGGCCACATCCTGGCTCCTTCGCTTCTTTTGTTGGGGCTTGGTTAATGAACCGAAATGCGTGTTTGTCTCCACGTTTTGGGTTTTTGTATTTTGTGGCATTGGACTAGAGTTCGCTGCTCTATTCAGCTGCTAGTCGTGCTCCCTCTGCTACTGCTGCTATTGCTGCTGTTGCTCCTCCTCCTTCAGCGTTTTCGTGTTGCCCCAAATACTGAGTATCTTCTGTGTATGTATTGCAATCATGGTTTTGATGACTTTGTTGCTGGGCAAAGTCAAATTCGCGTGGTCTCCCGAGTCTCGCAGTGTTGCGGGGTATTTTATTCGGTTGTTTGGATTATTGCTCGAAGCTTATGTTCTGGAATCGGATTCTATTTCAGTCCGTCCCTCTGCCTGTCTGTCTGTCCGCCTTTGTGTGTCCGGAATTCGGGTCTCTGTGTGTGTGTGTGTGTGCGGTTAGGGGGGGTGTGTCAGTCTCACACAATTACAAATTGTCTGTCTGGCATTTCCGCTTCGGCAAGTCATAATACGTTTAATTATAAAAAAATATACAAGTACATACACATGTAGGTACATAGCGGAGGAGCTCAGTCTGTCTGGTTCTCTGGTTCAAGGAAAGAGTTTAATGAGGCAAAATCCGTTGTTGCAAGCAGATGATGGTAGAGATGGTAACATTTTCACTGCCGCTGATTGAGAATTTACCGGGAAAGCACATGAGAAAATACTTAAAAGATGAAGAGGGAAACGAGTTCCTTACAAGAATGGTTTAATGTTTAAAGAAGTGCTGGAAAATTATGTAAAGTATGAATTAAAGAGAGAACCAGCTTATACTTAGCACTAAAGAATAAACAATATTCTAGGTCCCTCCATCTCTTTGGTTTCTGATGATTTCCTTCCATCATATGGCAGAGTTTTCAAAGTAAAAACTAATACTGCCATTGCAGTCATTCGACTGATGTAGACTGCAGAAAACTCTGGCCGGAAATGAGCCAGATTCCGCCGCTGAATATTATTATGGATAAAGGCATCGTAAAAATCGATGCTCGACAAGAAAGAACAAATGAGCGTCGTAATGAAATCAAAAGGCACTTACAGCCTGCAACCGCAAAACGCTAAAAAGTCACAATGTTGTACACAAATTTGAAACGAGCTGTAAAAAGCTGAGTACCCTCCGCAGCACTCACCGTGTGGATGTGTGGATGGGTGGCTGTGTGGGTGTCTGGGCGGATTGTGGCATCAACATTTATGAATTTTTTAAGTGGAAAAAGCAGCGGCTTTAATGAAACAAGTAATGCAACAAATGCTTACATTTCGTCCATGTGCAAACAGCTATTTATTGCATTCGAAATTTAAATTATGAATGAACGGAAAAGCCTTGGACAAGCCAAAATAGATGGGTGGAAATCCTATTGAATATGCAACACAGTGGTTGCGGCAAGGGGAGAGTGGGTGAGAGGTTGCTTTCTTTATTGCCCCTTAAAAGCCGCTAATGAAATCAATAAAGCTGCTCTAAGCAATTCTGCTGAAGCGGGGCGCATAAAAATGCTAAATAAATTGATGAACTGCGGCAAGACAACGGGCCAAAATGAAACACAAGGCGACTGAATCGAGGACGTTGAGATGGATGGCTGGCTGGCTGGCTGGCTGGCTGGAAGGCTGAAAGGATGTCTTGACGGTTGTATCGTAAAAGGCGCCTTTGGTAACCCTGTTGTAAAAAAAAGCGCTCCGTCGACCCTTTCATTGTGTGTTTTTAGCATGCCCCCGCGACGTGCCACTTGCACTGAGTTGATGCCAAGAAGGACTAGAAGAGCGGGGTTTGGTCTGGGTATGGATGGTAGAAGGAATAGAGTGCCTGGCGCCCAAATTGTATAAATATAAACGACATTAAAGCGCGTCTGGAAATAAAACAAACAACAAGTCAAATTCAATGAACTGAGCAGAGGCTGCAGCGCCAAGGACCCCCACTGCCCCTCCCCCTAATCAAATGCCCCACACCTGATGTGGCAGTTCAAGCGCAGCTTCATTGTATTCCCTTGTTCGATTTTCCATATCTCTACACAATGCCTCAGCTATTTTCGGAGGAGCAGCCACAGGATGGGCCACACAGTGGGCGTGGAGTCTGCAAGGGTGTGGCCGAAGAGTCCACCGCCAATCTGCCATTGTGCGTTGGGTATAGCTTCGGTTATATTTAACCATTTATAAATAAATGGGAATGGCCTAGGAAGTGAACAGCAATGCCACTTGGTGTGTCCCATCCCTAACCACAAGTCCTTGTTATTTGCCAGCCAAAAATGAGCAAGCCAAAGATGGTTAACATTCAAAGCGAAGCTCAAATGCTCTTATAGATAGATCTCTGCTAGGAAAGACACACAACTGATAGAGTCAGCTAGATAACTGGAGAAGAAATGGCTCTAGACAGACCTGGCTATCGGAATTCAAGAGCTCAACCCATTTACGATTCGCTCTTGAAGGGTATAAAAATGTGTAAAATATATAAAAAATTGTACACCAAATTCGACTACGTGTCAATGCCAAAGGTTCACACTTTTTAGCGAGCGTGGGAGATTCCATTCTAGATGGTGGGGTTATTGTTATTGGAGTTGATATTTGGGTTTTGGGTTTGGGTTTGAGTTTGAGTTTGGGCATTTCGATTGGGTGTGGCAGTGGTGTTGATGTGTGCGTGTTTTGTTGGGGTCCCTTTTGTCACGGCGGCTGTGATGGCAACACATTGTTCTAAATGTCTAATGACACACAAACACTGGCAATTTTCAATTGAAGCGTAAATTCTGTGCTCTGCACAATTCCGGATGCGTGAACAATTTTCATAGACAACAGAAAACAGCAGCAGGAGCATCACCAGCAGCACCAGCAGCAGAGTGGAGACCGACCCCCCAATAATGGAAACTGGAAACTTCAAGCTGTCGATAGAGATATGAAGTTTAGTTGTTGCCCAAAAAAAAAAAAAAAAAAGGAGCTGAAGAAGCAGCTGAAAAGGCTGTGAGGAATGCACTGAAGCAGGCAAAATGACATCAGTGGA